TTCTTTTAAATAAGTTTTAATTAACCAAACTTTGCTTCTATAACGGTCTCTTACTATTATATTGTTTTACGACATGTTTTTTAACTTTTTTAAAACTCACAAGTTGTATTTTTCAAGTCATTCATGGCCAGAAATGGAGTCCAACATGGCTGCCAAGCATGCGCATTTTGACTCAAAATAAAAATTCAAAATGGCGTCTTCCTATATAATTTGAATGGGAATAATGCAAAATTTGTATTTTTGATAACTTACGGTTGAGAAATCCAAAATGTGCATATCTAAAACTTCACCGATTCTGTCCAACATTTATCCGTAAAAAAATTGGTACCACTCGAGTTGTCTAAGTATGTTCCCGAGCAATCAATATCTCTGCCTAGTCTCTGCATAGGAAAGTATGTGATTTCGACATATTAGGTATTTTGCAAGTCCAATTTTAACTCGTTCTTTACAGATATCGTCAAATGTGCATATCTGAATTGCTTCGTACAGTATTCCTCTTTATTATTGTCACTTGTATGAAGCGTAAAAGTATACACTAGTATGTTCCCCAAAGCGATGAATTGCATGTATTTTGTAGAGAGGTGTCTGTCCAATTGTGATGAGAAATGCACCATATTTTGAACAAAAATATCACAAATTTCGCACCAAGAGTTATATTTGTTTTCCGCCATTGCTTTTATAAAGCTGTTGCTACGTTACAATGGTTTTAACCGCTGTCAATATAGGCTGTAGTCTCGTAAACATTCTAAAATTAGCGCAGGATTTCGTAGTAATTTTGATTTCCCGACTTCAAAACATTTATAACTATTGAGTATTGGTAGACTTTTGAAATTTGAGCATCGATCAAGACTCGGTTGGCGTAAAGTTTGTTATATTTAATAATTTTGCTTGTTTTCTTTATATCTCGTTGTATTTGCAATGTCGGATATTCCGCCTTTGCGCCCTATGTATACTTGTTTGCAATGGAAATTATGTGTTGAAAGCCACTCATTAGCTTATCTCTTCTTATTTTCAATTTATAAATCTGCCGTGCTCAGATTATTTAGTTCTCGGTAACTCACTGAGCTTATGAGCTATACTAGTAAAAATAAACAGCCATTTTGCCAAAACTGAACCACTGATCTGTATAGTGCACTGAATTATCAAGAAAACATGAGCCCGCACGCCCGACCGCTTGATGTCCTCCATTTCTGGCCATGTCTTGACAGTTCGCAACACTGAGTAGTCGTCAACAAGGCCGAGGCGAAATGTCGCCAAAGGAAGCCATTTAAACTCGTTAAAACGTTATTATTTTACATAAAAATCAAGTGAAAAATTCTGTTTTCTTTATGTGGTTTATACTAAAACAATTGGACAACTCGAATAACTCGGCTTCGTTGTCTAATTATTAATTATTATATACACTCACGCGCACTTATATAACCATTCATGTGTGTTTATTAGGGTCAGGTGCCAACCCAAGATTTTACGATATATTGAACAGGAACATATTGGACAGTTGCGAATCGTGGCTTTTTCGTGATTTTTCAACCTTTTTCAACTGGTTTTGTCAATATAAGATAATAATTTGGGGCATTAATACAATTTTTTCTACCAGTTTTGTTCAAAATTGTAAATGCGCAGGAAAACTTGTCGAGGTCAGTAATATTATTTTTTCGTTAACATTAGGGACCGGTCATTATTTATGGTGGGGGGTGGCACCGAAGAGAAAAGGGTTGGGTAAACTAAATTTTGAGTAAGTAAAAGGTTGGGTAAATGAAAAACAAAACAACTCAAGGGTTGGGTAATAAAAAATTATTGTCATTTCCAAAGCATGACTCACTGAAGTATTAGGGACTAAAAAGCAATGGCAACAGTACGCCCTACTCTGGGGCGATAACGAGATAATGCAAGTTTAAGCAATTTTAGGTGATTTAAGCAAAATCTGCAATTTAAGCAATGCGAGTTTGAGCGATATAGGGCAATGTAAGAAAACAATTAAAATTTTAGGGAATGCTTTTTTAGGTGTTTAGAGGTAAATTTGATGACTCCAATGAAATTACCATTAACCTATGCCAAGCATCCAAACATGAGTGTTCCCACAAACACACACACATGCAGTGTATGAAGCAAAATATACAATTTATCAAAAAAGTTGAAGTCTGCTTGAGGGGGTTCTGGAAACAAACAATACACTGTATGCGCATGCCGATCAAGTGTTTAAAGGGTAAATAAGCTCAATATTCATGACTTTTTTCATCCATTGTCTATTTCGAAGCCATTGGGGTATCATTAAATTCATGACACAACTATAATACAATAAAGTCTGGTAATACATGACCACATGTTCACATCATATGCAACTGCAAACAATTTTCAAAGGAGTAGGGTACAGAATTGCAATATAACAACATATAAGTAAATTATACATGTCATGAACTTACCAGTTTGTGTTGAGTTAAATTTAAACATTTTTTGACATCAAATATTATTTATTTATTTGCAAATCAAAACATTTTAAAATTCTCGTGTTTTGTTTTGTATTGCGCCCGCGATATATTAATGGTATTAACCGCTGTGAATATGATATACATTTTTAATACATTACATTTGCGCTCAAAAGTTCAGGAAGTGAGTTTCTAGAAAGAATGAAAACTTCGTTTTATATATGGTATGTAAAAGGTAATCATTGTTTACTGTTTATTTTGTATTCAGGTATGGGGAATTTAAGCGATGAGAGTTGCAAGACTTGCAAATGTAGTCTGACTAGTTTCTTTGATGTCATCATGCAACTATTTAATATTGTGCTACATTCATTATTCAATTTACAGTATTCGCAGCAATTGGATTAGCCTTCTATAACCATACAAATGACTATAGCTTATAGCCCACCTTGCCTTTAACATTGATCGTATATATAATGAATTAACATAACTAACTTGATTATGTTGCTAGTCGAGTATGGGACCTATGGGTCTTCTAGATCCTAGAGTAGCACAATTAATATAAAGTCTCCGTAAGGCGGTAATAGCCGAATTCATATTAGGGACGGGAAACTCGTCTTAGACGGGAAACTCGTCTGCGAAAACCCGTCTGAGTATGAATTTAGGGACGGGTAAATTCGAATTTAAGACGAGTTTCCCGTCTAGACGAGATTCCCGTCTAACTTTCCCGTCTGTTTAGACGGGTAAGTTAGACGGGAAAGTTCAGACGGGAAACTCGTCTGCGCCCGGATTCATATTAGACGAGTTTCCCGTCTGAGACGAGTTTCCCGTCTAAGACGAGTTTCCCGTCTCTAATATGAATTCGGCTAATATTAAAGACTGTTCTTATTTATGCATGACCTTTGACTATTAAGTGGCCAAAAATTGTGCCTACAGTAGTCAACTTATTCCACTATCCAGGTTGCATCACTTTTGATTGCAAAACACCCGGGTTTATTATACATGGATTTGCTAGCAAAATAGCAGCAATTGCTGAACTTGGTGTTATACTAAGATTTACTAAATGTGTAAAGAAACAACGAAAAGTATATATCAGAGTCACTATTTTTATCAATTTCCGATGGGATCTCCAAAGAAAGTAGCTACATGTGCAGACAACATGAAACTTTTATCAAACTTATGTCACAGAAGTGGTAAAGGACATCGGTGCCACCCCCCGCCATAAATAACGACCGGTCCCTTAGGTCAAACTTCTTTAAACATACATGGAAATGAATTTATTTATGCACACATATTTGTGAAAACAAGTTTATTAACTTTTTGCTTAGTTATTTAAGCACTGAAATTCGCCGCCGATATAATGTAGTAATCTTTTCGCAGTATTAATGTCGCTGTATTCCTTTATCGCTTATTGACAATTTTTTGTTATAGAATTGTTTTGTTTTATATGATAAAACTCTTACTAGATTCATCTTCGCCCAATATGGCAAAATATTAAGTCTTGACTTCAAAATTAGGCACTCATTTTTCCGATATCAGTGTGAATAATGTTGCCTTAATTGCATTTACAAAATCTTAAAGCTTCTAAAGCAACCTATATTGATAACATACCGGCAAAAGTTCTTAATGACCGTTATATTCAGACAGTCCCTTAGCACGGGTATATATTTACATAAACGACTGGAAATTATCTCGAGTATCTATATATCTCCGATTTATAAATCAGAAGACCGAAAAAAGTGTGAAAATTACCGTCCAATTTCGATTCTAGCCATTATAAGCAAAGTATTCGAAAGAGAAGTGTTTACCCAAATATATAAATATCTGAATGAAAACTCGCTAATATCAAAATTTCAATCAGGATTTCGACCAAAACATGGGACTGTGGGCACGCTTATTCAGATGTGTGACCAGTGGCCGGTGCCATGCAATGGAATCATCTTTCTGAGGATTCAAAAACCCTTTCTTCTTTTAAAAGAAAAATACGTCAGGCATGAACACCTCCCTTGGATCGCACGAATTTGTGAAGTTTTTATGCTTCCTTATTTTTCTATATAGTTTAACTTGTATATAGTTTGATGTGTATATTCTTTAATTTGTAAGTAGTTACTGTGTGACGCCCCTCATGAAAAGCAGCTCACATTGATCGGGGCTAGCGTGTTTAAATAAAGTTTTACCATACCACCATACCATACCATGAATTCGGTCTTGCCCAATATTGAAGTCTCGACCTAATATTATATCTTATAGGATTCTTCTGAGCCCAATATATAGAGGATATTAGACGGTTACGAGGAGATATGGATTTTTAGTTCGAGTGACAAAAACAATATTTGAGATATAAATCCATATCTCCTCGCAACCGTTTAATGTTCTGTTTATTATATGGACTTATTCAGAGTGACAAAAATGCACACAAAGACGACCACATGTAAATAAGCACGCGAAAGACCAGTATAAAAGCGATGTTTTTTAAAATTATAGTGCAAACAGAAAACCAGGTTAAACCCTTTACCCAAAGAATCTCCTTTGACAGAGTGTAATCAATTGAGGCCTATATCGCTCACAAACATCATTATGAGATTATTTGAAAGGGTAGTTTATAAACAGGAGATTGCGTCTGCATTCAAATCCGTGATCGGACGAGATCAATTTGCTTATAAAGAGAGAACAAATACTACCGATGCTCTGATTATGTGTTTACATCATTGGCTCAAATGTCTGGATGAAGGTGCAGACTCTGTTAGGGTAATATCATTTGACTATAAGAAAGCGTTTGACTCGGTATCTCATAACATTATTTGTGAAAAATTGAAAACACGGGAAATTAACCCGTATACTATAAACTGGATTATTAGTTTTCTGGCCAACAGAAAGCAAAGAGTTGTTGTTGATGGCATAGAAACTGTTTATGTTGATATTAACAAAGGCGTACCGCAGGGTACGGTTTTGGGTCCCTTTCTATTTTCGTTGATGGTTAATGATATAAAACCCATGGATGCGCAAAACAACCTATTGGTTAAATTTGCTGATGATATGACGACAAGTGTTCCAGTAAAATCAGGATCGGATTCTGCTGAGGCTGAGGTGGAAAGCATTCAGAATTGGTCGGAAGCAAATCAAAGGACATTAAATCTTTCTAAAGCGTGGGAAATGGTTGTGCACGGTGGGTCTATGAAACCGATACCGGCACCGATTGTAGGCATTGAACGAAAGAGCTGGTTGAAATTACTAGGTGTTACATTTCAGGAAAATCCATGTTGCTGGGATCTTCATATCGATGATCTTCTGTCGAAGGCTAGTGGGCGTATGTACATATTGAGAGTGTGTAGATGCTATGGTTACTCTGCAGATCAGCTAAGCAAACTATTCGATTCGCTAATCATGTCACTCTTTTACTATTGCATTGAAGTGTGGGGCTCTGCACTCCAAAAGAAATATTTGGATCGTATAGACGATCGTATAGATCGAAGTTTTTCCGACGGGCTTATCGTTATGGATATACGACAAAGAGTATTAAGATATCTGAAGTGATCGAGGAGAGAGACAGAAAATTATTTAGCAAAATCGTATCGAATCCAGAACATGCCCTACATGAATTGCTTCCTGTGTGTAAACAAAGGATTTTAAGACGCAGGGAAAGTAACTTTATTTTACCTCAAATTAAAACGGAACGATTTAAACGATCCTTCATAAATAGATGTCATTTTAATTATTTTTAACTTTCATATAATTAATTAGGATAGATCAATTTTTTAACTGTAATAATTAGGAATTTGACATTTGTAAAGTTGCACGTCTGTTGTGACTCTAGATAATAAAGACTTTAATAATAAAAAATAAAAGAGCCTGGGTACCAGGTTGGAATAAATTTTACTTATCTCAAGTTTAAATGTTTTCGTTTTATTTCTAACGTTACTTTCGTTTTATATGTCACTCGCAGGGGTGAAATACGGAAAATACGTACACCTGATCCCGGATGTAGTGGCGTATGAGTTATACGAGTGTTTTAGTTTCCAGTAAAACACCATTGTCCATATAAAAAGGCAAATTATTATACACTCGCGCGCGCGCTTAACCAATCAGTAATCGTTGAGAGGATCACGTGCCGATCCAATATTTTACGATATTGGACAATAGTGGCTTTTTTCCATGGTTTTCAACCCTTTTCAGATGTTTTCACTGTCAATTTCAAACATACGACAAGCGATATGGCAGAGTAATGAAAAGAATTTGGGACATTAATACAGTTTTTTCTACCAGTTTTGTTCAAAATTATAAAAGAGCGGGAAACTTGTCTTCGCGAATTTCATTTGTTTGCAACAGCCTCGATGTATAGTAATATTATTTTTTTCGTTAAAATTAAGTCAAATTTCCTTTAAAATTAAACATACATGGAATCGAGTTTACTTATGCACATATATTTGTAAAAACAAGTTTATTAGTCCAAATATTATATGTTATAATTATTGGATTCTTCAGAGCCCAATATGGCAAAATATTAAGTCGAGACCGTTCTATATTGGGCGAGACCGAAGGAGTCGAGCCTAATATTGAAGTCGATCGCGAGACTTAATATTTTGGCATATTGGGCGAAGATGAATCCACTAAGAGTTTTATTACATCGAACAAAACAATTCTATAACAAAATATTGTCAATAGCGATAAAATAATACAGCGAGAATAATATAGCGACAACAAACAGGTGGGAAATTTGTCTGGGCATGCGCGAGCAAAACGAGCCACGCAATTGCCTGGAATACACGCAACGCGTGTTTACAAAAAGGCACAATCGTGTAAATATTGCCAAATGTTTGTACAAAATAAATGACTGTTTTATGTTGAAAATGGACATGATCTAAATTAATCATACAAATTTTTTTAGTCAGACGTTCTATTTTAGTACCCTGCCATTGTCTCTGGTGGGCTGTCCGTGTGCATTCGATCTGAAACAGTTGCTACAATCAGTTTCAAAAGTCTTGGGACAGATGCCACAAAAACTTTGAATATCAACAAACTACAATCCCACCCGCCCCCTGTTCAATGTTGTGTCCCATTTCTCGTCGGGTTTGATGTGTTTTGGTTTAAACAACATTGATTGGGGTGGAGGGAGTGGTAGGGCAGCGGTACTATGTGTAAAAAACTATAATGATCCACTTACAAGTTACAAGCCAAAACTACATGTGTCCCAACAACTTCTGAAAGTGATTGTCTGGGCCCCATATGCCGTAACAACATTGTACATCTCAAAAGTACAGGGAATAGAATGCTCTGTGAACGAAGTATTTCAGCTTCATTTCGTTCACAGAACATCTAATGACATTATAGAACAATTAAGTTTCATTAAAATTCTCAAAGTTAATAATTAACAGAATATGAATACAATTTGTTATATCATAATGCATTCTTAATCACAACGGATTTATACGTTGTTTGCTTCTACAAATTTTGGCAGAGCACTAGTAGGTTATTTGAGAGGTAATAGTCCGTCAATAAAGATAGGTATCGCAAATGTTTTCGCTAGATATGTCACACATACTGTTAATTTATAGCATAGTAATATAACATCCGGTTACTTTTGCATGCGGGTAAGGCCTGAGTCAACTGCTAATTCGGGTACTCCGAAGGTAAAGAACGTTTGATGTTTATCACCAATAGTGAATGTGACATTTCACATGTTTCTAGAGCAAAATTTGCAGATATAATTGTCGACGCATGGGTACGAAGGAGCACTCAGTGGGTGGAAATTTCGGAGGCTAATGGAAAGGGCGGTATCATATAGTATATATAGTCACTTTCACATGGCTAAAAAATTTTCCGCAAGATCAAGTTGGCGAGCTATCGGAAAGCTCGAGAAGAGAAAATTGGGCATTTAATTGAACTCAGTCAGACAATCCCAAAAATTACTATTCAGCGTATTCGTACGTGGTAAAAAATGACCCGGACTTCGTGATTTCTCCAGGGTTATAGACCTCCCTATAATGCTGACGAGTTAGCAAGTACTAGCGCGCGCGACCCGTCGAAGCAAGAAAGTTGCACAGGCTTCCAAAAATATGTAACGAAAGGGACACGCTGTATACGGCGTTGTACGCATTATACAACACAAAGTTAGTGTTATACGCTAATTATGCTAATAAGTGTTTCCGGTCCAGACGATTGCAATGCAACTAACATCGGTTGTCACTTCGATTGTCACTATAGAAATATAAAATAATGGGCAATTAGGCAGCTTTTAAATTAGAACAAGACTAAGAATAATTTGTTGGGAATGTCTAACAATGTATTTGCTATTAATGAAAGGGTTTGAAATTGATTGAGCCAAGTTTTGGATCGATTGACACTTTTCGACATAAATAAATCTGATATATCATGGTGATATTTCTAGAGTTGAGTGTCAATCGATACATTTTATACAATTTATATACTTTGTGATTAAGTAGAACCAGTAATATATCAATATGCGCTTCTTAAACACTTAATTCTGCTTAGTACTTAATATTCTGAAAATTATTATCCCGCGACAATTGAAAGTTATATCAATGAAAATGCTATGCGTTTCAAAGTGACAACCGAGTGACAATCGAGCACGTGTTAAAACCATTTTATATTACATAAATATTTTCATGTCAAATATGCACAATCTTTAAGTGGTTTTCGATAACTTACCCTTGCATTTTATTCAGCAATAACCTAGGTTGATAATTAACCAGATAGATGTGTTTTATCCCTTGCATATAGAGCAGGTTTAATCTCTCAGCATACGTCCCTCCCCACATATCACATCTTTTTATAAGCTCATTTATAATATACTGTTCAGTCTGCTGGATTATGTTACATTTCAAATATATTAACCACAACAAGCGCAGTATAAAAGCATTATATATGCCAGTGCAATTCAGTAAATATGTTCAACTAAATGCTATACGATTTTCGCAAAACTGATATTCTAAAACATTCGGTAATTCAAAGAGGTTAAATATGCTTTTCATTGCCTTTCAGACAATCAGTTTCAAAAGTCTTGGGACAGATGCCACAAAAACTTTGAATATCAACAAACTACAATCCCACTCGCCCCCTGTTCAATGTTGTGTCCCATTTCTCGTCGGGTTTGATGTGTTTTGGTTTAAACAACATTGATTGGGGTGGAGGGAGGGGGAGGGCAGCGGTACTATGTGTAAAAAACTATAATGATCCACTTAAAAGCCAAAACTACATGTGTCCCAACAACTTCTGAAAGTGATTGTACTTTGCTGTCGAAAAATTTCGAATGTTTACATGAAATTAAAATAGAAAATAGATTTACAACCTCGTAAACTGAACGAGCCCCTATTTTACGCTTATACCTAAGATATCAAATAAAAATACATGAAACAGAGAACATTTTTAGGAAGTTTTATCGTGAGGCCACGGCCAGTTCTTAAAATATCTTTATTTCTGTTCCGGTCATCACCAAAATTACAATAAAGCCGGGCTTGAATATACAACAAATTTTGAATCTCATCAAATACAAAAATATTTAACGTGTAACCAAAATATGCTTATGAAATCGAAATTAATAGCTAAATTTTCAAACTAGACCCTTCTCGAAGCGGTTTTCTTGACTGGAAGTTCACATTTCGGCCTTTGATTCTTGGCAAAAATTTGACCACAAGACGTGCGAAGCAACTGGGTCTCAAAGATTCAGCTAAAACATTGTAAGCCCCTATTTTCCTGACGATATGTTTGACATCTACAAACGCCGAAAAGCTTTTTCTTTTCATTTAGCTATATTTGAAATTGAGGCCACGGGCTGATTTTGAGAAAATACTGTTCAAAGTCAAGCCATTTTTACATATTTTCAAAATTTGTCAAATTTCGCCAGCTCATATTTTGAACTTTGACAGAGTCAGGAACATTAAGAAACATGGGATGGAAAATTTGAGGCATATAAAGTTAATCTCAACTTACATTTCATTCTCATATCACGTCTTTCTTCGTTTATTACGGTTTTAAACAAGCCACAGATCGACGTATACGGTATTTGCTCCCATGTTCACGTCGCCATATTAACTTCTTCCAATCACTCGATTACTAGCCTGATAACAGACCTACGTTTCGCCCGCCCTAAAATTCGCGGGTCGACGAAGAGCGAAACGTAGGTCTGATGAAAATGTTGTCAAAAGTGCATGTAAGCCTGGCGGTCGACAAAGCTGATTGGCTAATTCACAGGGAAATGGGTTGTGATTGGTTGCTAGCTAACATGAAAAGATTTGAAAAGGTCAGAATATTTTCAACGGTAAATCGACGCATATAAATGTGCATACAGTGTCAGTGTGACCAGATTTGGTAAAAAGTTTTACTTTTGGTAAAATTTCGTGAATTTTCAAGAAAATTTGGTAATGAGTTTCTTTTGGTAAAATTTTGGTAAAATCTGAAAGGTTTGAATTATTAAAAATAGTTGGTAAAAATGTGTGTTTCTTGTTTAATAACGTGCTCAAAGTGATGAATAGAACTGCCAAGCCTAAGAAATAAAGCCTTATCATTAGCAAAAACTGCAATACGATGAAAGCAACAAGTATTTCGAGACACTTTTTGTGAATATTGTTTCTACTCTGATGACGTAACTATTGTTTTTTGGCATTATCATGACGTAATTATTTGGGAAGCCGACATTTGGTAAAATTTTTCTTAATTTAGTAAAATTTGAACAAAATTTTGGTAATGACTGCTGAAAAAGTCTGGTCACACTGTACAGTGTAATATTATAAATATTTTGTGATGCCGAACGACAACTAGTCTATGATCAGTTCTCACCGTCTAAAATTAAAACTAGAGGGGAGTAGAGCAGTACGTGTCAAATTCTTCAGCGTTGTATCTTTCCGTTGTAATAAACAATACAATATAAAATTTTTTATACACGATCTAAATAAAACTCGGATACAAATATGTGCGCATTCATGATTTACATTTTGATAACATAGCACGTACAAAATATTTTATTTAGTTTTTACCATTGTATGGCGATTTCAAATGTATAAATTGTAAGAGTTGGGATGCAATTCAACAATGGCACATTGGCCATTGCCAAATTTGCGTAGGCAGATTTTATCGCATTTATAGAATGTGTTGAAAATGTTGTATTATTACTAGCTGTAACTGTTTGTTTACAAAGGTTTAACTATATAAAAGCAACGGGCTCCATGGGGTTACCAATATTTTAAATATTTATTCGAATATTTGTACTTATTGGGGTTAGGTTAAAACGCGGAAGCGGATGCGGAACGGAACGGATGCGGAACGGAACGGATATGCGGAACGGAACGCAACGGATATGGGGTAAAATGCGGAACGGAACGGATATGCGGAACGGAACGGATATGGGATTAAAATGCCGAACGGAACGGATATGCGGAACGGACCGGAACGGATATGAGGTTAAAATGCGGAACGAAACGGATATGCGGAACGGAACGAATATGGGGTTAAAATGCGGAACGCAACGGAAATGCGGAACGGAACGGAAATGCAGAACGGAACGGAACGGATATGGGGTTAAAATGCGGAACGGAACGGATATGGGGTTAAAACGCGGAATGGAACGGGAATAAAACGTTTTTTTAAAAACTGACATGATTTTTCATTTTTCGCGTTTTAACCCCATATCAGTTCCGTTCCGCATTTTAACCCCATATCTGTTCCGTTACGCATTTTAACCCCATATCCGTTCCGTTCTGTTCCGCATATCCGTTCCGTTCCGCATTTTAACCCCATATCCGTTCCGTTCCGCATATCCGTTCCGCATATCCGTTCCGTTCCGCATCCGCTTCCGCGTTTTAACCTAACCCGTACTTATCGACTCTTTATACTAGTTTGCAAACTTGCAATAAAGTGAAATCGACAACTTTCATTCTATTTTTACGTATTACATGTATGTGTCAATCATCATCGTTAATTATATCAAAATGCAAAGTGGGCGGAAGGCGCTTTTGACAACATGTTCATCAGACCTACGTTTCGTCCTTTCCGACGACGAATTTTAGGGCGGGTGAAACGTAGGTCTGTTATCAGGCTACTCGATTACAAAACATCCAAAACAAAGAATTCATCCCAAAACAAAGAATTCATAGTCGACTTTTAAAAGAATAACCGTTAATTTGTAAATCGTTGAATGGAAAGCAAAAAATCGTCAGCTAAGAGGGTCCTGAAGGGGTAAAATGGGAACTGGGATTGATCTATTTTTAGACTGGGAAAATGGGATTTGGGTTGCTGGGACTGGGATTTGGCCACTGGGAATGGGAAATGAAGTCCTCAAAAATGGGAATGGGATTGAGGTAATGCGAGTCGATTCCCAATTTTTCTACGTTTTAAGTATTTTAAAATACAATTTTGATCCGTTTTTGGTGTCTTTGGTCATGATTTTTGTTGTTAATTATATTATTCACAGCACTACCTGCGAACAAGCATACTCTGGCGCCCGGAATTCTGGGTTTTCCGATTATGCGTGTCTCAGAATGCTGCAAATGCCATTTCCGGGATTCAAATTTAAAAATTTTCCGTGCCTTCGGCACAACCCTCCCCCCACTTTCATAAAGTGTGTACCACTTGTACACACAATGGCTTAAAAGTCTCAAAACTGTTTATTGTACTGATAAATAAAGGGTTTTTTATTGACTGGGATTTCAATAACTCGGACTGGGATTTCTAATTAAAGTCCAACTGGGACTGGGATTTTGCCAAAATTTCAGGTGGGAAATGGGATTGGGACCCTTCAAGATCCTCAGCTAATGACCAATGAGGCACAAATTCAGACCAATGAGGCACAAATTCAGCCCATTGAGGCACAAATATAGCCCAATGAGGCACAAATACAGCCCAATGGGGCACAAATACAGCCCAATGAGGCACAAATTCAGCCCATTGAGGCACAAATACAGCCCATTGAGGCACAAATACAGCTCGATAAGGCACAAATACAGCCCAGTGAGGCACAAATACAGCCCAATGAAGGCAGAAATATAGCCCAATGATGCAAGCTATGAAGTACAGCCCAATGGCAATGAGGCAAACTATGAAGTATTAGCTAATTTACATAACGAGCATTGTTTCCCTCGCGATTGTTCACTAAAGAGTTCGTGGCCCTGATGTATTCTTCCACGAGAAACTAAAGGCATCATTTATTCTTAACAAACGACTAAACTTACCACAAAAAAAATATTTAAAGGCAGATACTATACTGATATTTACTGATAGATGTGTGATCAGCAAAAAGGCAGCGTTGTCGAATGGTCGTGTGCTGTGACGTAACGTACGATAAATATTTCCGACATGATCGCCCCCCTTGACACCCATCAATAAGATGAAAATCGAGATTTCACGTCCAATAATCATAACTCGGTCAAAGAAACTGGGCACTACAGTAACGCCGTGAAGATTAGCAGCAATAAGTATAACTAAGCAAAAAGTTAATAAACTTGTTTTTACAAATATGTGTGCACAAGTAAACTCAATTCCATGTATGTTTAATTTCAAAGGAAATTTGACCTAATTTTAACGAAAAAAATAATATTACTAACCTCGAGGCTGTTGCAAACAAACGAATTTCGCGAAATCAAGTTTTCCCGCGCTTATATAATTTTGAACAAAACTTGTGGGAAAATCTCAGTATTAATGTCTCAAATTCTTTTCATTGCTCTGCCATATCGCCTGTCGTACGTTTGAAATTGACAAAACAACTGAAAAGTGTTGAAAAACCATGAACAAAGCCATGATTCGCAACTGTCCAACAGGTTCCTGTCCAATATCGTAAAATATCGGATCGGCACGTGACCCTCTCAACAATTACTGATTGGTTAAGTGCGCGTGAGTGCATAATAATTTGCCATATTGAGCTCAGAAGAATCCAATAAGATATATTGTACTCGCTTGTGGGAGAGAGAACAGTCTTGCTGCCTGTACAGGAATTTATTTTTTGCCGCCCTTTTTCTGAATATTAAAGATAATGTAAAACAACATATAATCAACTAAATCGAGCCTTTCAATATGTAAGACATGAGCTAGGAAATTTTAGTTTCTAAATCAGTTCTAAACTCTTCCCCTAAAGGTTCAGTACGAGTCATTCTTAATTAAATAATTAATAAGTCGATCCAATTTTCATTTCAATTCTTTTTTAAGGTCTATCCTATGTCTGGAAGGTCATGTCCGACGATGATTCAAATTTGCCAATCAACGGAATTTTGCCCACTGGGAACTTTAAATAATCCTATAAATCTATTAAACCCTATATAGTCATTAACCATATATGCAGACGGAAATGTTTGTAATTGTAAACTGTAATTTATCTCATTGTCAAACATACACCAAAACTGCAGTCTAGCAGTCGAAAGCTTGTAAAATGATAAATATTTTAAACATAACAGCGTCCATTATATATTTTACAGTTTTACATGACTGTTCTTCCTGCCTAAAATGCAGACTTCAATTTCGTTGCCATGACTATCGTAAACTCTGCTGTTCTCTTGACCATGCCCAATTATGCTGAAGCTAAAAATATTTTTAAGCACCGAACTTTCGAAATATTTCCATTTTACGTAATTTGGAGAAAAAAATATATTAAGGGCTATGAAGCATTTTGCGGGGTTTTTTCAATAGCTAATTGTAGCTGCTTTGCCTTTTAAAGACACTTCGTTATCTTGAAAATCAAGATAGATTTGATACCATTCATAAAACACAATAAGACTCTTGACCTTGAAGGTTTGCATGGTAAAAATAAATATAATTGTTTTGTTTTTTTGGACACGTTTATTTTTTGGCATGCGGCTTTCGATACAAGTCCGGTCTTCAATGGTACTATAATAATTACACCGGTGAGAATCCATAAAACACACTCGACCTCCAAGGAGAACAATTTATAACTGGTAGAACTATACACGCGCCTTCCGCGGTACCGGATACGGTTGCAACGGATATCAAAGCTTTAAGGCCTGATTCCACGGGCGCTTGTTCTCGGCGAAATGCGAAATATTTCGCCTGTTTCTTTTGAATTGCGACCACTCGAATAAATTATTTCTACTTGATTGCTCACAATTCAAAAGAAACAAGCGAAATATTTCGCATTTCGCCGAGAAAAAGCGCCCGTGGAATCAGGCCTTTAGACAGTTATTAAGTGCATGTTTATAATAAATCAAGTTGGTCGAATGCCAACCGTTTTAGAGAAACATTGTAAATCATTATCGTGAAGGAGTTTGTATATCTGATACAAAATCTTGTTGATTTACATAAAGATAAAATTAATTCTATAAGTTCAAATTTCTTACCAAATATCATTCATTTATTTTAAAATTGCTGAAGAATACAAATGTTCTCATCAGGACGTTTCACAAGACATTTACAACATTCGCGTCCTTTTAAATACTTCATTAAAAAACTTTATTGAAATTTCTGACATTCTAGAACACCCAAAATATCCACTTAGCGAGAATATATAATTATCTACAATACATTCTTCAAATTCACTGCAGACTTTTGCTTTGATCATGAGTGAACTAAGAACCAATGAGTTTTACTTGAAGAAACTATATCGCTCCGCTCAATTTAATGATGTTGACAAGGTAAGAAACTGCACTATACTATACTATAGAGCTCCAAGCCTGTCAAGGAGCACGTAACGAACGAGCTGAAGATTACGAAACCTACATGCCTACCATATAATGCATGCTTAAAAACCACACACGGAGAAATATGCATGTTTGTAAAGTTTTATTAAAATGCTAAATATACTAGCGTTGCTGTCTAAATATATTTCTCCGGACATGAGATGATGTAGTCAACACACGATTTTCAAATATATTTTAATAATTGAATTTCTGTATTTTAGAGTCAGTTCGATTCAATATTCTGTTTTTATATTTAGTATATATTTAACTTTTGACCGAGCTATTCTGTATAGACAGAATGCAATAAACTTACTATTCATTTGAAGAATGGTGTGGTAACTCGTGCTGATTATGACCTCATGATCAAGAGATACAACGAGCTTGGTATGCCAGATGAAAACAAACAAGAATTATCTGACGCCATGTACGGGATTTGTGATTCCTTGGGTCTTACAGACTACACGAAGTCCTTGACTTACGACGAGATAGTGCAGTCTTGGATTGATAACGTGGAGAAGGGAGGTGGCTTTGCGACAGTTGCCTACGATAAGGCATTTCGAATTATTGATACAGACAGAAATGGAAGTATATCTTTGAAAGAGTGGGAAATTCATTGCATGGCTATAAAAATCCCTGTGGAGCACGCTAAAGTATCGTTTAACGCGATGGACACTGATGGAGATGGAGTGATCTCTCATGATGAATTTGTAGCTTATCACTATGAATATTTTCATACAAGTGAAGATAAACTACATAGTTCTATTTTGTATGGGCCATTACAGTAAAATAAGGCACTGGACCGCCAAGAATTTTAACAATACTAATTCTATAATATAATAGTTAACCTGCACCGTATCGTAGCATGAAAACAAACTAGTATTCTTGGGTATATCGGTATGTAATTGTGTTTTGGTAAAAATCAGAAATCTGATTGGTTGAACGAATATCTAGCACTGAATAGCTAAGTTGTATTGTCACTACATTTTCAACAATTAAAAAATCCAAAGGAATAAGAAATATGCATATATATATATATATATATATATATATATATATATATATATATATATATATATATATATATATATATATATATATATATATATATATATATATATTGGGTCGTAATTTGATGCGAATGGCTTGTGATGTGGAAGAGTTAAGACAAAGCCTGCGACTACATAAACGTAAGAACCAAAATACAACCATGTTCTAGAAGATATATGTACAATGGTACTTTACGAACAAGCGCAGCAAGTGAGTAAAATATTGTTTTTAACAGGAGCAGATGAAAGTCATAACTGTTAAAAACAATATTTTACTCGCTTGCTGCGCTTGTTCGTAAAGTACCATTGTACATATATCTTCTAGAATATGGTTGTATTTTGGTTCTTACGTTTATGTAGTCGCAGCCTTTGTCTTAACTCTTCCACATCACAAGCCATTCGCATCAAATTACGACCCAATGTTTCTAATATAAATATCTCGGCGAGTATTTACCCCCCCCCCCCTTTTAAATAAAACCCACCATTGAAATCCTCACAAAATAACCTTTCGAACGGGTGGTCAAGTGCCGTCAAAACATTACACAAACCGAAACAATCATATATTTACTCACCGCTTGACCAAAGATTCTAAATTTCATATCCAGAAAATCTTGAATATCTCTTGAACTTTTTGTCATTTGCGGAACGGCTATATATGTAAATACTCTTTGTATTCAAGTGCTTTCGTGTACAAAATTTCGTTTGAATACGACGAGTAGAAATATTTATTTTGAATTTTTCAAGATGTCGGGTTTACTCGCACTTGCGTACATTGCGCAATAATTGGCCAATAAGAAGCTCCTGTGGCCGGGATGACGTCAAACTCACGCGTGTAGGTGCAATTTGACCTTGCGAACCATTTCTGGCCTTTCCAGGGTCATACGATACAAACCTCGCATTTTTTTGACGGTTTTTAGTCGTATTTCCGGTTGGGATTAACTCACTTCGAGCTCACAGTCGGACAAGAAATGGAAATATATTGATAAAAGATACAGATTTGAAGATACAGGCTTGCAAATAACACTCTAGTCGCGTTCCTTTTGTGAATCCAGATTTTGATTTCATGGATTCAGATTACCCATATTTTTAATACAAATGGAACGCAATGGATTGATTTTGATTTATCGCAGACTCTTCGTCGCTTCCAGTGGTCGCTTCAATAACAAAATATGACATACTTCATGTATATGCCTTTCATTTTGTCCCGACATGCACGTCATGTTACAACACAATGGCGACCAGAGGTTTTAGGAGATATCCTTTATTATTTTTCTCCACCTTGGAAGAATGTCTTGAATTCGAATTCACAACTAGCACTATTGAAAAAATGTTGCCGATAGTTTCGAAATTTATTCCGAGTACAGAAAGACTACCTGCAGTCAGAATCCGTGAGTATGCAGAATGTATTGTACCTAGTTACTCGGACGGTTCATTTCGTTCTCATTTTCGTCTCACACGCCGCAGTGCAGAAATTTTGGTGGGTCTTTTAGCTCGTTGTCCAGAAGTTCCAAGTCAGCACCTGAGAGGACGACCTCCAGTGAGTGTCGAAAAGCAATTACTCATAACACTTTGGGTTTTGGGCAATCCAGAAGTAATACGGTCTGTATCTGATCGGTTTAACGTGACCAAGTCCAGTGTGTTTAGAATTGTGAGACGTATTTGTCGTGCGATTGTAAATAATTTGGCTGCACAATTCATTTGCTGGCCAAAAGGGGATCGTGTGAAAAAGGTGATGGAGCAGTTTCAGAGAAAACAAGGTCTTCCACATTGCATTGGTGTTATTGATGGAACCCACATACCGATCAAGGCTCCTTATGACAATCAAGAGCAGTATGTAAACCGAAAGAAATTTCACTCTCTGCAGCTTCAAGGTGTGTGTGATCCTGACCGATTTTTTACTGATGTTTATTGTGCTTATCCTGGGTCTGTTCATGATGCTCGTGTCCTTCGAAATTCTCCATTGTACCAAGATGCAGAACATTTGGAATCAGAAATGTTTCCAGGAAGTGCTTATATCATTGGTGATGCTGCATATCCTCTTAAAACCTGGCTCATGACTGGTTTCAAGAACAATGGCAAACTTACCAGAGAGCAACGACACTTCAACTACCGCCTAAGCTCTACACGCATGAAAATCGAGCACACATTTGGTCTTCTCAAAGGGCGATTCAGGAAGTTAAAAGTAATGATGGATGTTGACAAGGTGGAAGATATTCCTCTTCTTGTAACTTCTGCTTGTGTATTGCATAATTTTTGTTTAATGAATGAAGATAACGTAGAAATGTTTTTAGACTTGGATCACGAGCAAGAAGTGAACAATTTTCAAAACATTTTTGTTGAGCAAGAAATTGCTGTAAATAAGAGAGCTGAAATCATGCACCTCATTGTTTGACTCCAGCCTATACCCAGACAGTTGTGTTACAAAAACAGTTTTCAATGAACGTGTAAGTTGCAAGGACAATTTATGGTCTGTATTGCTCAGTCTGTTAGTCATTTATACTAATATATAACACATTTTCAGTCTCATCAGTGCCAAAACATTAGTATTCATTAGTGATGGAAGTGAGGACTTGGTCAAGGGTGAACAGTTGGGTGTTATAGAGTTACCCTTACATGCCCTTTAACCCATTGAGTCACATTTGCACCCTGCTTTATTATTTTGCTCTGTCTATTGCCAGACTAATTTACTCTGTCTAATGCCAGACTAATTTACTCTGTCTAATGCCAAACGATTTTACTTGTCAAGGGGAGAGCACTGGCACTCAATGGGTTCATCAGACAATATGCCCATGTGTCTAATTAACCCATTGAGTTGCATTGCACCCTAATGTGTCATAATTTATTATTTTACCCTGTCTAATGCCAGATGACTTTTCTCTTTAAGGGAGAGTGCTGGGGCTCAATGGGTTAAATTAATGGTAAAATGACGGAAAAGGTTAGTTCGCTGACCTCAATGACATTTCATCAAAACTTTTTTCTTCAAGATTAGTTTAGAACCAAACTTGGAGTAGGGTTAGGATACGAGGTAGGGTTAGTATTTGTATTAGAAAAACCGTTACTTTGTTTCGTTTTGTCACTTTGAGGCCAGCGAAATAACCTCTTCCTAAAATGACACATTATAATTATTATCAGCAAACATAACTGACTCAAAACGTTTTGAACAGACTTTGATACAAATTTAATTAATTTAAAAACTGCCATTCAACTGAAGTAAACATTTTTGAATAGATTACATGAGTCACGTTTTAGGAGGAGTTACTGTTTTTAGACTTAGCGTTAGGATTAGGGTTTGGATTAGGGAAAGGGTTAGGATTAAGATTAGAGTAAGGGTTAGGTTTAGGATTAGGGTTAAGTTTAAAATACAAAAGAATACAAAATTACAAGTCTAAAAATAGTAACTCCATCCCCCTTAAATGTGACAGGTATAATAGGTTTTGGTACAAAGTTAATTAATTTGATAAAAACTGTCATTCAACTGAAGTAACTTAATTTGCTTTCAAACTCAATGTTCATATATAATGTATATGTTCAATTGTTATTCATCTGCATCATTAGAAAGATCTCTTTCATACAGATTGAGCAGGCGGTCAAAACGTTGCATCTTTTCTTTATGCATCTCTTCCATTTTTTCCATCCTTTTCTCATTTTCTTTTTTCATTTCATCTTGGATGCTGATCAAACTTTCAGTAACACTAAATCTTCTTTTTGCTGGCTTTCCCTTCTTCAGCTCACCATCTTTTATGGCAATTCCCTTATCAGTTAGACTGTGAGAATTTTCTTCTGATGTTCCTTCCTTATCAGGAGCTTCCTTAACAACTTTATACCCCTTTCTATTAGAGCATTCTGCCACTGGTACAACTGATGGATTACATGCAAATATTTCATTAAGTTCATCAAAAAATGAACATGTTTTGAAACTATTACCACTTTTGCTGTTGTGATCGACTGTTTTAACATATGTTTGTTTTAAGTTTTTGAACTTAACCTGGCATTTATGATCAGAATAAGAATAACCATGCTGATTCATTTCTTTTGCAATTTCCTTCCAAATTGATATTTTTTTCCATTTCGGATCATGAAATTTTTCTTCGTGGGCTTTGTAAAGTATTAGTAGCTGCTGAACTTCAGGTTTGGTCCACTTCTGACTCTGATTGTCTGAGGACAAGAAACATATTTCTGCTGGATTTGTAGCTGTATGATTGCCTAAGCTTGGAGCTTTTCTTACATCTTGGTTGTTTTGTGTTGGTTTCCCCCTATTATTTTCAATAGCTGGGACCACAGACTCTGTTCCAAGTGAATGAAACATATTTAAATCAATTGTACCAAAGCTGGTTTCTATAGAAAGGAAAACAGCGATTAGAATAATTGGTGTTATTAAACAATGAGTATGTATGAAGTGCAATTTCATCAGTTGCTCACTAGTGAAATAATTTGAATTAAGCAATACAAGTATTAGGAGGAGGGGATGTGTTTTTCAAATCAGGGCTAAATTATTTTAGGCCACTTTAAAATTAAGGCCTGCATGTTCATATGAGCCAGGATTGCCGGGAAGCTCTCTTGAGTGGGATGAGCTACTTCTGTGTTCATATGACTATTTTTATCCCACCTCGGTGGGACGACATGATGTGAACATTGCGTCTTTGAAATATCTTGTATAAATCGTTGTATAAATTATTAAATAAACTGCACCATGTATTACAACTTTAATAGTGTCTGTCTTAGGTCACGTAAGTTTCCCCACATCGCAGCTGGGCTCATATGAACATGCCCATGGGGTAGTAGTTGCACAGTTGCAAAGCCAGAAGGAGGAATAGGACCAGGACAACCCCCCCCCCCCCTCCAATCTTTTCCAAGAGCAATTTTGTAATTTAAGAGGGTAAGAAACAGGGAAATAAATAAATATCTTAATATCAGCCTAGAAGGATACGAAAATCGGCCCAACATAAGGTTTACTGTAAATACTTTAATTTTTAATATATTGAAAGTTTGAAACTCTGTGAGAAAATGTGCACTTTTATATTCACTGAGGAAAAATTATAGATAAAAGTTTTAAGAACAGTGAAAAAATTACTTAAGTATTCTGTTTCACAGCTGCTGGAACAAAATCTCTCGTCGGTTGAATAAAATGAGCATGCTCCGTTGTTTAAATTGTGAAAACCTGAACCATACGACGGGAAAGGCTGACGGCATTTAGGGTTTTCACATAATTCTTCAGATATGCTTCCAACTGTCAAGTACGCCGGTGCTTCTAAAGCGTTTAAAAAAGTAAGGAAATTTAGTTATTAGTTTGCTTGTTTGTTTTTAGTAACCTAAACCTCGGAAAAGGTGAAAATTAAGTTGAATTATTGTATGTTATTTTTTGTAATTTGTAATTTTTTGTTATTTTTTGTTTTACTATAATATACATTAATATAACACACATTTATACTATAAGTCTATACTGACCCTTGCGAGATTGGGCCGCCTGTGAATAGATTTATAGGATTATTTAAAGTTCCCAGTGGGCAAAATTCCGTTGATTCAAATTTGAATCATCGTCGGACATGACCTTCCAGACGTAGGATAGACCTTAAAAAAGAATTGAAATGAAAATTGGATCGACTTATTAATTATTTAATTAAGAATGACTCGTACTGAACCTTTAGGGGAAGAGTTTAGAACTGATTTAGAAACTAAAATTTCCTAGCTCATGTCTTACATATTGAAAGGCTCGATTTAGTTGATTATATGTTGTTTTACATTCTCTTTAATATTCAGAAAAAGGGCGGCAAAAAATAAATTCCTATACAGGCAGCAAGACTGTTCTCTCTCCCACAAGCGAGTACAATATATCTTATTGGATTCTTCTGAGCTCAATATGGCAAATTATTATGCACTCACGCGCACTTAACCAATCAGTAATTGTTGAGAGGGTCACGTGCCGATCCGATATTTTACGATATTGGACAGGATCCTGTTGGACAGTTGCGAATCATGGCTTTGTTCATGGTTTTTCAACACTTTTCAGTTGTTTTGTCAATTTCAAACGTACGACAGGCGATATGGCAGAGCAATGAAAAGAATTTGGGACATTAATACTGAGATTTTCCCACCAGTTTTGTTCAAAATTATATAAGCGCGGGAAAACTTGATTTCGCGAAATTCGTTTGTTTGCAACAGCCTCGAGGTTAGTAATATTATTTTTTTCGTTAAAATTAGGTCAAATTTCCTTTGAAATTAAACATACATGGAATTGAGTTTACTTGTGCACACATATTTGTAAAAACAAGTTTATTAACTTTTTGCTTGGTTATACTTATTGCTGCTAATCTTCACGGCGTTACTGTAGTGCCCAGTTTCTTTGACCGAGTTATGATTATTGGACGTGAAATCTCGATTTTCATCTTATTGAGGGGTGTCAAGGGGGGCGATCATGTCGGAAATATTTATCTTACGTTACGTCACAGCACACGACCATTCGACAACGCTGCCTTTTTGCTGATCACACATCTATCAGTAAATATCAGTATAGTATCTGCCTTTAAATAATTTTTTGTGGTAAGTTTAGTCGTTTGTTAAGAATAAATGATGTCTTTAGTTTCTCGTGGAAGAATACAACGGGGCCACGAACTCTTTAGTGAATAATCGCGAGGGAAACAATGCTCGTTATTTAAATTAGATAATACTTCATAGTTTGCCTCATTGCCATTGGGCTGTACTTCATAGCTTGTCTCATTGGGCTATATTTCTGCCTTCATTGGGCTGTATTTGTGCCTCACTGGGCTGTATTTGTGCCTTATCGAGCTGCCTCATTGGGCTGAATTTGTGCCTCAATGGGCTGTATTTGTGCCTCAATGGGCTGAATTTGTGCCTCATTGGGCTGTATTTGTGCCTCATTGGGCTGTATTTGTGCCTCATTGGGCTGTATTTGTGCCTTAATGGGCTGAATTTGTGCCTCATTGGGCTGAATTTGTGCCTCATTGGTCATTAGCTGACGATTTTTTGCTTTCCATTCAACGCTTTACAAATTAACGGTTATTCTTTTAAAAGTCGACTATGAATTCTTTGTTCTGGGATGAATTCTTTGTTTTGGATGTTTTGTAATCGAGTGATTGGAAGAAGTTAATATGGCGACGTGAACACGGGAGTAAATACCGTATATACGTCGATCTGTGGCTTGTTTAAAACCGTAATAAACGAAGAAAGACGTGATATGAGAATGAAATGTAAGTTGAGATTAACTTTATATGCCTCAAATTTTCCATCCCATGTTTCTTAATGTTCCTGAAGCTGTCAAAGTTCAAAATACGAGCTCGCGAAATTTGGCAAATTTTGAAAATATGTAAAAATGGCTTGACTTTGAACAGTATTTTCTCAAAAATAGCCCGTGGCCTCAATTTCAAATATAGCTAAATGAAAAGAAAAAACTTTACGGCGTTTGTAGGTGTCAAACATATCGTCAGGAAAATAGGGGCTCACAATGTTTTAGCTGAGTCTTTGAGACCCAGTTGCTTCGCACGTCTTGTGGTCAAATTTTTGCCAAGAATCAAAGGCCGAAATGTGAACTTCCTTCAAGAAAACTGCTTCGAGAAGGGTCTAGTTTGAAAATTTAGCTATTAATTTCGATTTCATGAGCATATTTTGGTTACACGTTAAATGTTTTTGTACTTGATGAGTTTCAAAATTTGTTGTATATTCAAGTCCGGCTTTATTGTAATTTTGGTGATGACCGGAACAGAAATAAAGATATTTTAAAAACTGGCTGTGGACTCACGATAAAACTTCCTAAAAATGTTCTCTGTTTCATGTATTTTTATTTGATATCTTAGGTATAAGCGTAAAAATAGGGGCTCATACAGTTTACGAGGTTGTAAATCTATTTTCTATTTTCATGTAAACATTCGAAATTTTTCGACAGCAAAGTAGCAACTGTTTCAGATCGAATGCACACGGACAGCCCACCAGAGACAATGGCAGGGTACTAAAATAGAACGTCTGACTAAAAAATTTTGTATGATTAATTTAGATCATGTCCATTTTCAACATAAAACAGTCATTTATTTTGTACAAACATTTGGCAATATTTACACGATTGTGCCTTTTTGTAAACACGCTTTGCGTGTATTCGACGCAATTGCGTGGCTCATTTTGCTCGCGCATGCCCAGACAAATTTCCCACCTGTTTGTTGTCGCTATATTATTCTCGCTGTATTATTTTATCGCTATTGACAATATTTTGTTATAGAATTGTTTTGTTCGATATAATAAAACTCTTATTGGATTCATCTTCGCCCAATATGGCAAAATATTAAGTCTCGACTTCAATATTAGGCTCGACTCCTTCTGTCTCGCCCAATATAGAACGGTCTCGACTTAATATTTTGCCATATTGGGCTCAGAAGAATCCAATAATTATAACATATAATATTTGGACTAATAAACTTGTTTTTACAAATATATGTGCATAAGTAAACTCGATTCCATGTATGTTTAATTTTAAAGGAAATTTGACTTAATTTTAACGAAAAAAATAATATTACTAACATCGAGGCTGTTGCAAACAAATGAATTTCAGTTCGCGAAGACAAGTTTCCCGCTCTTTTATAATTTTGAACAAAACTGGTAGAAAAAACTGTATTAATGTCCCAAATTCTTTTCATTACTCTGCCATATCGCTTGTCGTATATGTTTGAAATTGACACTGAAAACATCTGAAAAGGGTTGAAAACCATGAAAAAAGCCATTATTGTCCAATATCGTAAAATATTGGATCGGCACGTGATCCTCTCAACGATTACTGATTGGTTAAGCGCGCGCGAGTGTATAATAATTTGCCTTTTTATATGGACAATGGTGTTTTACTGGAAACTAAAACACTCGTAGAACTCATGCGCCACTACATCCGGGATCAGGTGTACGTATTTTCCGTATTTCACCCCTGCGAGTGACATACGAAGTTCGAAAATTTCCCGCAATTTTTATGGTTGTTGTTTTGAAAATACAAACGGTCTTTGATTCGTATATAAAACGAAAGTAACGTTAGAAAGAAAACGAAAACATTTAAACTTAAATAACTTAACAAAAAGTTAATAAACTTGTTTTCACAAATATGTGTGCATAAATAAACTCAATTCCATGTATGTTTAAAGGAAGTTTGACCTAATGTTAACGAAAAAATAATATCACTGACCTCGACAAGTTTTCCCGCGCATTTACAATTTTGAACAAAACTGGTAGAAAAAACTGTATTAATGCCCCAAATTATTATCTCATATTGACAAAACCAGTTGAAAAAGGTTGAAAAATCACGAAAAAGCCACGATTCGCAACTGTCCAATATGTTCCTGTTCAATATATCGTAAAATGTTGGGCTGGCACCTGACCCTAATAAACACACATGATTGGTTATATAAGTGCGCGTGCGTGTATATAATAATTAATAATTAGACAACGAAGCCGAGTTGTCTATGAGCGAATCCTTGTTGACGACTACTCAGTGTTGCGAACTGTCAAGAATGACTTGAAAAATACAACTTGTGAGTTTTAAAAAAGTTATAAAACATGTCGTAAAACAATATAATAGTAAGAGACCGTTATAGAAGCAAAGTTTGGTTAGTTAAAACTTATTTAAAAGAAGGAAACAAGGCTTAAAAATTCCAAAATTTCGAACACAAAATGGCTTCCCGAATTGTTACTAAATTAGTAAATAAAGTTTACGTTAAAAAGCCGAATAAAAATGCACACACAAAAGAATCCGATTATCCGAATGTCGTTGAAATCTTTAAAATATCTGGAACATAAAGAGGCAAACCATTTCCATAATCTAGTATACATAGACAATAGTTGAGATTAAAATTTAATCGAAAAACTCGACTTAAAAAGGTTCGAAAAGGCGAAAAGAAACTCGGCCAAAATCTCAACATTTAAACGAAAAAACTCTTTAAAATGACAGCTAAATACATGAACTCGTAGCTAAAACAAGCACACACTAAAGAGGTTGAGAAAATATGGGTAAATAGCTACAAAGTATTGTTGAATTTCAACGATTCTGCTTGGAACATTAACAAACATTATTAAATTGTGCGTATATTTTAAAAAATCGCCCGTCACTTTCATGCTCAAAACAACGAGCAAAGACAAAGTTGAGAAAACTTAAAAATTTTACGGCATGTGTCAGCAGTTTCCAAGAGTCTTTGTTTGTGTGTAATCCACGGAACCGAAATTAGGTCATTTTGATAATAGGTCGTGGGCCGACCACATGAAAGTCCTCAAGAAAAGCAGTTACGTTGCCCAAATTTGCAGAATAAAATATTTCGATACAGACTTACGTTTTGAAGTGTGCTGAATTCAATTCTTTTTGTTTCCAAGTCTGAAACCCCGCAGTTTTTATGTAAAATCGCATTGAATTCTATATTATTTGCTGTCAGCATGTTAATTTGTTTCCTGCATGTCACCGGGTATTTTACCCCGTAACCATGACAATAGTGGCGTTGACATGAAAATTTCCCCGGTATCTGCTGCGTTTCCATGACAACAGTCGGCTTGAACGAATCACTAAATTTAAAAACTGTCGACTTCAGTGGCTGCAATTACCAGGTACATCGTCAGAAATAGCTCACGAGAGTCTGAAAATATGTGCGAATGAAGAACTAGATTTTTCTAAGTACTATTTCCATAAGTACTGTTACCGCCAATTTACCGACGTAACAAAGATAAGAAGGGCAGAATCTAAGCAGCAAAAGCTCCTAGCTGTAGAGCAGTCGGAAATAAATCAGTGTGAAGTTGCTACCGCCTCGATTAATCCAAGAAAGCGTACACATTCTGCCATAATATCACAGTTAGTCGAAATTCCTGCGAGAAATAATGAGGTTCTTCCAAATGTATGTATTATATGCAAGAAAGAAAAGATATATGTAAAAGATAAGGTAAGCATTTGGTAGTATAGAAATTATAGTTAAATTTGCCATCCTATTTATTTATATTACATAGCACTTTATAAAAATTGTATATGAATGATATATACTATAATTATTACCTTGCAATATATTAAGCTTGATGTCATGTGCACGACCTAATAATCTTTTTTTTTATTTCAGACAACTCAAAAACGTGTTTTAGCAAAATTGCACACTGCAGAAACAGTTGATGCAGGTTTATTGCGACGTGCTGCAGAACAGAAGAATGATGAGTCAGTACTTCACTATATAAGAGGAAAGGATTGTGTCGCGATTGAAGTCCATTACCATACGAGTTGCTACAAATCATATACACAGTTTCTGTATAAGCGATCTCCAGGACAGGGGCATTTGTATCTAAATGCGTATGAGAAATTTTGCCAGGATGTAATTGTTGAAAAAATGATACAAAAGCATAATGTATACCGGATGACCAAGCTGTTTCAGAAGTTCCTTCATTACGTCAATATGGTAGAGGAAAAAGATGCATCTAATTATAAAGCATCTCGTCTTAAAACGAGGTTAAAAGTTGACTACCCACAACTGGTATTCTTTGCCCCTTCTAAATGCACACAAAGTGAACTTGTTTATGTTGAAGCGGTCTCTGCCGGTGAAGTCTTAGATAATTTACCTGATTCTGCAAGTAATTCTGGGTCTGAATATGAGTTGTATGATGAAGAAGATAATCAACAGACAAATTGTCAACAACAGTCTTCTTTTCAAGTTGAAAATAACATGCACTTGCTTTATAGCGGAGCCATGCTCCTGGAAACATTAATCAAAGGTGCTCCGGAGTTTGATGCACCTTGCCCTCCAACATCTTATGACATTACTCTAGAGAGTGCAAGGAAAATGGTCCCAATTCCACTGTATAATTTCTTAGCATGGGTATTAGGCATGACTGATGATCCAGGATTTGATGACTATGCAAAAGTAACGGCAGAAGAGAATGCCAAATTGCTCTCCCTGGCACAAGATATTATTTATGTTTCACATGCTGGTCGGAAACCAACACCTAAACATTTGGCTCTCAGCATGACAATTCGCCAGATGACAGGATCTTCCTGACTGCTGAAGATTATCCATGGATTCGGGCATTGTGCATCTCATTCAACCACACTGAGGCATGACACAGCTCTTGCAGAATTAAATCTGCAAAGTTCAACAGTGGTGCCTAAAGAAATTCTTCCAAACAAGCATACAACACTAATTTGGGATAATGATGACTTTCAGGAAGAATCTAAATCATCTACGCACATTACTAATGGAATTGCGGTACAAAGAGCTTTGAATGAGGATGTAATTACTATTCCGCCATTAGTAAAGACGAGAAGAAAAAGCTTAGATGATCCATGCTGTGAATTGATGCCATATTCAATAGGAAAGAAAAAGTCCATTGATGTGTTAGAGCAGTGTTCTGATCTTGAATTTGAAGAAGAGTGTCATTCTACTCATCAGATATCTGCAAATAAACTGGATTTGGTATACTGCCTTTTAAAGCTATCCTTCATTGATAATTCAGAGCTTCTTCCTGATTGGACAGGATTCAACACACTGCTATCAAGAAACGATACTTCAGCTTTAAATTTGTCAAGAATAGGTTACCTACCAGTTATTGAAGGATCTCCAACACAGTACACAACAGTTTACACAGTTTTCGTAAAGAGCTTAGAAATAGCTGCCAAGTTAAATCTTGAGTATGTAGTTCTTGTGTTTGATGAGGCCATATATGCAAAGGCCCAACAGATTCGCTGGAAGAATGAAAGTTTCATGGTCAAAACTATTTTGCGTCTTGGTGATTTCCATGCAGTGATGAGCTTTTGTGGAGCGATATCAAGGATCTTTCAAGATGCAGGTTTAAGGGTATGTATATTATAAGCCAATGCATGTGCACATGAGTGTGTATCCATTTAATACTTGTATGTTGTTGTTTTTCATCAGGATGTACTTGTAGAATCTGGTGTTGTGGGACAAAATACTGTTAATGGAGTTATGAGTGGGAAATTCTATAATGGGAGTGTGAGATGTCACAAAATAATGCACGAGGCTTTGGAGATTATCCGTTTCCAATGTTTTATGGACAATTGTTCCCCAGAACGTGCAATGTGAAATTGAATCATTGTTGTGCAACATTAGAGATGCTTTCCTGAATGAAGAATTCTATGACTACCTTGAATCACCAGAACTGAAAGGGATAATTGACGAATATGAAACATTCATTGAAATGGCATCCAAGCAATTTCCAACCTTCGCCCTGTGGTCTACTTACATTGAAATAACAGGTATCTCTGTATCAATGTATGCTAATCTGGATACCTTTATGTAAAATACACTTTTTCGAAAATTTAATATAAAAGAAAGCCAATTATTTTCCTTTTCTAAGCTGTTTGATTATGAAACTCAGACACGTCTTGAAAGCATTTGCTTGAGAAATCAATTTTTTTATCTTTTCTATCTTACAATCCTGTAGAATGCCATACATAAAAATAGTCTTCGTTGCTACTGTACCTACAGTGGAACCCCACACTCAAGGAACAAAAACACACATGCACTATATGCTACTACACTTTGACGAATTTCTACTTTTGTTGACTACTCTAGGCTTGTTGATGAAGTTTATTAGAGCAACACGGGAAAGTGATTGGAATCTCCATTTGTCATCTTTACGATCGATGCTCCCGTTTTTCTTTGCCGCCGACAGAGTAAACTACTCTAGATATGCCACAGCTTACTGGCTAGAAATGATAACACTTGACAAAACTCACCCAGGTTAGATACGAGTGCTATTTTAGATTGATATTTAGTAATATTTTAAGACCCATTGCACCTACTGTATACTGATCCATAGCAAAATTTACAATATATAATACATCATTTTAGCTCATTTGTATGTATACTGCAACGAGTTTAAATAATTCATTTAAACTTGTTCTGTGAAGCTCAAAATCCACAACGGCAAAACCTCTAACTTTAAGCGTGAGAAATGCAAGGACGTGGCAAGCCAAGCTTTTGTTATTATAGTATCAGTTCGCAAACACACATTCATGCTTCCATTTATACTCAGATATGCAAGTCCACTGTGTTTTACTGAACAGTAAATTTATATTTCGCCATGAAGGTGCTGCCAAGAATATTCGCGAAAACTGGACGGTTCAAAGGCAAGATCGCTACGGTTTCTCTGCAATTGCATGTGATCAGGCAATTGAGCAAACTGCGAACAGGGACTCGAAGACCAAGGGTGGCATGATTGGCTTTACGCTAAATCGTGGCGCTGTTCACAGATGGTTCTTATCTCAGTCCGAGAGATCTGCTATTGCTAGACAATGTTTGTTAATGACCAGTGCAACAAATGAGTGCAGGTGTGTTGAATGCAAATATGGAAAATTAAATATTATGCTGTGGAATAAAAAGTATACACTGCACCCTTTTTCGAGGGGTGTATCACTTCAAATAAGTGAAGGACATTTTTGGTATTTAGAAAATGAGTATTTTTTTCGAAGCGTAAGAGATTTTTGAAGTGACACACCCCTCGCTCTGGCTGCATGACTTATGTTACCGTCTTGTGTTGTATTAATTTGGTAAATTTCCATAAATTATATAGAACAAGAAAGAATCTTGATGAACCAAAAAGAAAGTCACACGAAGCTGACGTTCTTAGCGTTATGAATACGATAGAAAACACCATTAATCCATTCGAACTAGACCAAAGCGAGATGGTGCATATAACAAGTGGAATAATTGCAAATGACAAGGTGAAAAATGACCTGCAAAATGTTAAAGCGATAGGTGAGGAGAGATTATCTACTTTTGTGCAGACAAAGTTACTATTTAAAGAACCAGATATTTTTGCAGCAATCCAAAAAACAAAACTGCATACATTTTCATCATTAACGAAACCTGTTTCCACGACTAAAGCTAAGGGCAAGGAAATATCTTTAAAGAGCTCTAGAAATTTGATGGGAAAACTCTTGTTATTGGCAAGAAGTCGAGAAATAGATTTAAAGGAAGTTCTGTCGTTTTCATTGGGTCCGTATCCATTAAGTCTTGCGACAACTGATGGTATCATGGTAAAAACCGTGAAAGCAAACTTGATGCACATCATCGAAGATATGGTAGATGATTCTGTCACTGATGTTATCCCATCAAATGGAGCGCTGATCATTGATGCTATGGCTATGTTTCAATCACTTAGTCAGGTTCCTCTCACGTTTGAAGAGCTTCCTCCGCTTCTCCTTTCTATCCTTATTTCTATGGCAACACGCCTGAATGCAACGAGAGTCGATTTTGTTGTCGATCGTTACCCGAAAGTGAGTATTAAAAATAGCGAACGCAAGAAACGAGCTTCTACAGGAAGTAACATGTTAAAGATTTACGGAAAAAAGCAAAAGACACCAACACAATGGAAGAAATTTCTCAATAATGGCGAAAACAAAGAATCGTTGGCATGCTTCGTGGTCGACGAATGGAAGGAGAGCAAATCCAAGAATTTTAGAGGAATAGTACTTTACGCAACACGAAAGAATCAGTGCTTCAAGTTCCTCCCATCGCATAACGAATCAGAGAAACCCGAATTCGAACAGATTCATGAGTTACACAGTGATCATGAGGAAGCAGATACGCGCTTGTTGCTTCATGCTAATCATGCATCGACCTCTGGCTATACTCATGTTTCTGTGAAGAGCCCGGATACAGATGTATTTGTTCTTCTTGTAGCCAAAGGAAACCATTTAACATCTCAAATGTATTTTGTAACTGGAAACAACGCAAAGTCCAGAATTATTGACATAACAAAGATCGCAAGAAGTTTGGATGACGACATATGTGATTCTTTGATCGGTCTTCATGCATTCACAGGTTTGGAATAATAAAATTATGTGACTGTGTCCCACTCATGGCAATTAAATATCACTTTTCGTCATATCCGTTTTTTATAACAGTGTTGCTATGAGTACGAGGGAACAAATAAAAATATATTCCCATACGGATGCATTCAAATTTGGCTTTGTCCCTATAGGTAAACGATTTGATTATGGGCACACGATGTCGTTTTTCCGGTTTTTATATGTGGTTTGTTACCAAAAGAATAGAATTCCTGCAGCGGTTTAATTGCCTAAAACATCAGAAAAAGGATGCCGTGTGCTCATGGTTTATTTGGGTGGTATAAGACATTGAACATTTGTGCACTAAATGATTTAAAGCATGTATGTTTTATTTAGGATGCGATACAACAAGCGCATTCTATGGGAAAGGGAAGAAAAAGACATGGAAATTGATGGTGGAAAAGAAAATGTTTGATGGTTTTCGACAATTAGGGTCATGCTATTTTCCGTCATCCGAAACATTCCAGCACTTAGAGAAATTTGTTTGTGCGTTATATGGTCAAGATGGAATTAGCCACGTTAACGAGGCTCGGTATCGTTTGTTCAAGCTCGGAAATTTTTCTGATGAAAATCTACCTCCAAATAAAGATTGCCTATATCATCATATCAGACGTGTAAATTACCAAACACTTATCTGGAAAAAGTCGTTTGACGCAGTCATAAACGCGCCTGATCCTGCTGAACATGGATGGGTTATCAACAACGACGAAATTGAGCTCAAATGGATGTCAATTGATGCAGCCCCAGAGGAATTGCTTCAGTTTGTAAATTGCGGTTGCAAAACAGGATGCGAGTCCAATAGATGTGGCTGCAAACGAGCCAATTTACATTGTACTGAACTTTGTAAATGTGAAAATTGCAACAACAGATCCCAAGACTCAGATGATGAAGAAGATATGATCAACAGTAACTACGAGGATGAAAACTTGAGCGATGATGAATAATTTTATCCTACCTTTACTTGTATCCAAAGTTTGCATGGTGCTAATTTTAGCCTGATTAATTAATATTATTGCGTACAGCTGTAAGAATAATCTAAAGGCGCGGACCCGATTAGAAAAATGAACCATTAGAAAAGTGATGATTGGTTGGGGAGGGGGGGGGGAGATTCGTGCAAAGGAAAATAAAAGGAACAAGTACTAGTGCAAAGAGGAAAGCAAAGGAAAATATCTTTAAAGTTCCGAAAAAATTCCAACATCAGACACGGCAGAAAACAAATTAGTGCAATAGGTAACCCCCCCCCACCTCCCCAATCAAGTTCCTAATTTTTTGACATGTAATCATCATTATTTCACATGGACTAAATTTCGGCGAAAAACAGATATTGAAATACAAAAATTATGCAAAATAACATAGCTATTTTCTTGGTATTCTTTGTATCTGGAAAAACTATACACCAAAAGCAGTTTCGGCGGTATTTTGAAAGTAAATTTACATAGCGCGCGAGAGCCTGGTACCGAATATCGCATTTTTGAGTGATGTGTTTTCATTGAGTAATGGCGGTTTGTATAATTTTTGAATTTGAAAATATGAATATTCAATGCGATTTTACATAAAAACTGCGGGGTTTCAGACTTGGGAACAAGAAGAATTGAATTCAGCACACTTCAACACGTAAGTCTATATCGAAATATTTTATTCTGCAAATTTGGGCAACGGCATTAAACGAAAATCACTTGTGGCCCACGGCCTACTTGTCTTCAGCGCGAGGAACCTTGTCCTCAGCGTGAGGAACCTTGTCCTCAGCGTGAGGAACATTGCCCTCAGCGTGAGGAACCTTGAACTCAGCGTGAGGTACCTTGTCCTCAGCGTGAGGAACATTGTCCTTAGCGTGAGAAACCTTGTCGTTAGCGTGAGGAAACTTCATGTCCTCAGCGCGAGGAACATTGTCCTCATCGTTATGAACCTTGTCCTCAGCGTGAAGAACGTGAGGAACCTAGTCCTCAGCTTGAGGAACTTTTCCTCAGTGTGAGTAACCTTGTCCTCAGCGTTAGACACGTTGTTAGGAACCTTGTCCTGAGCGTTAGGAACCTTGTCCTAAGCGTGAGGAACCTTGCCCTCAGCGTGAAGAACGTGACGAACTTTGTCCTCAGCTTGAGGAACCTTGTCCTCAGCGTGAGGAATCTTGTCCTAAGCGTGAGGAATCTTGTCCTCAGCGTAAAGAACGTGAGGAACCTGGTGCTTAGCGGAAGGTACCTTGTCCTCAGCGAGAGGAACCTTGTCCTCAGCGTGAGTAACCTTGTCCTACGCGTTAGAAACCTTGTTAGAAACCTTGACCTCAGCATTAGGAACCTTGTCCTAAGCGTGAGGAACCTTTCCCTCAGCGTAAAGAACGTGAGGAAAGTTGTCCTCAGCTTGAGGAACCTTGTCCTCTGCATGAGGAGCATTGCCCTCAGCGTGAGGAACATTGTCCTCAGCGTGAGGAACTTTCTCCTGAGCGTGAGGAGCATTGTCGACAGCGTGACGAACCTTGTCCTTAGCGTGAGGAACCTTGTCGTCAGCGTGAGGTACCTTGTCCTCAGCGTGAGGAACCTTGTCCTCAGCGTGAGAAACCTTGTCCTCAGCGTGAGGAACCTTGTCTTCAACGCGAGGAACCTTGTCTTCAGCGCGAGGAACCTTGTCCTCAGCGTGAGGAACCTTGTCCTCAGCGTGAAGAACATCAGGAACCTAGTCCGCAGCTTGAGGAACCTTGTCCTCAGCGTGAGTAACCTTGTCCTCAGCGTTAGAAACGTTGTTAGGAACCTTGTCTTCGGCGTGAGGAACCTTGTCCTCAGCGTGAGGTACCTTGTCCTCAGCGTGAGGAACCTTGTCCTCAGCGTGAGGAACCTTGTCTTCAGCGCGAGGAACCTTGTCTTCAGCGCGAGGAACCTTGACCTCAGCGTGAGGAACCTTGTCCTCAGCGTGACGAACCTTGTCCTCAGCGTAAAGAACGTGAGGATCCTGGTGCTTAGCGGAAGGTACCTTGTCGTCAGCGAGAGGAACCTTGTCCTCAGCGTGAGTAACCTTGTCCTAAGCGTTAGAAACCTTGTTAGAAACCTTGACCTCAGCGTTAGGAACCTTGTCCTAAGCGTGAGGAACCTTGCCCTCAGCGTAAAGAACGTGAGGAAAGTTGTCCTCAGCTTGAGGAACCTTGTCCTCAGCGTGAGGAGCATTCCCCTCAGCGTGAGGAACATTGTCCTCAGCGTGAGGAACATTCTACTGAGCGTGAGGAGCATTGTCGTCAGCGTGAGGAACCTTGTCCTTAGCGTGAGCAACCTTGTCGCCAGCGTGAGGTACCTTGTCATCAGCGTGAGGAACCTTGTCCTCAGCGTGAGAAACCTTGTCCTCTGCGTTAGGAACATTGTCCTCAGCGTGAGGAACTTGTCCTGAGCATGAGGAATCTTGTCCTCAGCGTGAGGAACATTGTCCTTAGCGTGAGGACCTTGTACTGAGCGTGAGGAACCTTGTCCTCAGCGTGAAGAACATGAGGAACCTAGTCCTCAGCTTGAGGAACCTTGTCCTCAGCGTGAGTAACCTTGTCCTCAGCGTTAGAAACGTTGTTAGGAACCTTGTCCTCGGCGTGAGGAACCTTGTACTCAGCGTGAGGTACCTTGTCTTCAGCGTCAGAAAACTTGTCCTCAGCGTGAGGAACCTTGTCTTCAGCGCGAGGAACCTTGTCTTCAGCGCGAGGAACCTTGTCCTCAGCGTGAGCAACCTTGTCCTCAGCGTGAGGAAAATTGCTCAAAGCGTGAGGAACATTGTCGTCAGCGTGAGGTACCTTGTCCTCAGCGTGAGGAACCTTGTCCTCAGCGTCAGAAGCCTTGTCCTCAGCGTGAGGAACCTTGTCCTCACCGCGAGGAACATTGTCCTTATCGTTATGAACCTTGTCCTCAGCGTGAAGAACGTGAGGAACCTAGTCCTCAGCGTGAGAAACCTTGTCCTCAGCGTGAGGAACCTTGTCCTCAGCGCGAGGAACATTGTCCTCAGCGTTATGAACCTTGTCCTCAGCGTGAAGAACATGAGGAACCTGGTCCTCAGCTTGAGGAACCTTGTCCTCAGCGTGAGTAAGCTTGTCCTCAGCGTTAGAAACGTTGTTAGGGACCTTGTCCTCAGCGTTAGGAACCTTGTCCTAAGCGTGAGGAACTTTCCCCTCAGCGTGAGGAACCTTGTCCTCAGCGTGAGGTACCTTGTCCTCAGCGTGAGGAACCTTGTCCTCAGCGTGAGGAACCTTGTCCTCAGCGTGAGGAACCTTGTCTTCAGCGCGAGGAACCTTGTCTTCAGCGCGGGGAACCTTGTCCTCAACGTGAGGAACCTTGTCCTCAGCGTGAGAGCCTTCTCCTCAGCGTGAGGTACCTTGTGTTTAGCGTGAGGAACCTTGTCTTCAGCGTGAGTAACCTTGTCTTCAGCGCGAGGAACCTTGTCTTCAGCGCGAGGAACCTTCTCCTCAGCGTGAGGAACCTTGTCCTCAGCGTGAGGAACATTGCCCTCAGCGTGAGGAACCTTGCCTCAGCGTGAAGAACGTTAGGAATCTAGTCCTCAGCTTGAGGAACCTTGTCCTCAGCGTGAGTAACCTTGTCCTCAGCGTTAGAAACGTTGTTAGGAACCTTGTCCTAAGCGTGAGGAAGCTGGCCCTCCGCATGAAGAACGTGACGAACTTTGTCCTCAGCTTGAGGAACCTTGTCCTCAGCGTGAGGTACCTTGTCCTCAGCGTGAGGAACCTTGTCCTCAGCGTGAGGAACCTTGTCTTCAGCGCGCGGAACCTTGTCTTCAGCGTCAGGAACATTGTCCTCAGCGTGAGGAACCTTGTCCTCAGCGTGAGGAACATTACCCTCAGCGTGAGGAACCTTGTCCTCAGCGTGAGGTACCTTGTCCTCAGCGTGAGGAACCTTGTCCTCAGATTGAGAAACCTTGTCCTCAGCGTGAGGAACCTTGTCCTCAGCGCGAGGAACATTGTCCTCATCGTTATGAACATTGTCCTCAGCGTGAAGAACGTGAGGAACCTAGTCCTCAGCTTGAGGAACCTTGTCCTCAGCGTGAGTAACCTTGTCCTCAGCGTTAGAGAGGTTGTTAGGAAACTTGTCCTCAGCGTTAGGAACCTTGTCCTAAGCATGAGGAACCTTGCCCTCAGCGTGAAGAACGTGACGAACTTTGTCCTCAGCTTGAAGAACCTTGTCCTCAGCGTGAGGAATCTTGTCCTCAGCGTAAGGATCCTCGTCCTCAGCGTAAAGAACGTGAGGAACCTGGTGCTTAGCCGAAGGTACATTGTCCTCAGCGAGAGGAACCTTGTCCTCAGCGTGAGTAACCTTGTCCTAGGCGGTAGAAACCTTGTTCTAACAAGGTTTCTACCGCTTAGGACTAGGTTACTCACGCTGAGGACAAGGTTCCTCACGCTTAGGACAAGGTTCCTAATGCTGAGGTCAAAGTTTTTAAACTTTGACCTCAGCATTAGGAACCTTGTTCTAAGCGTTAGGAACCTTGCCCTCAGCGTAATGAAGATGAGGAAAGTTGTCCTCAGCTTGAGGAACCTTGTCCTCAGCGTGAGGAGCATTGCCCTCAGCGTGAGGAACATTCTCCTCGGCGTGAGGAATTTTCTGCTGAGCGTGAGGAGCATTGTCGTCAGCGTGAGGTAACTTGTCCTTAGCTTGAGGAACCTAGCTTGTCCTCAGCGTGAGGTACCTTGTCCTCAGTGAGAGGAACTTTGTCCTCAGCGTGAGGTACCTTGTCCTCAGCGTGACTAACCTTGTCCTCAGCGTGACGAAGATTGGCCTCAACGTGAGGAACCTTGTACTCAGCTTGAGGTACCTTGTCCTCAGCGTCAGGAAACTTTTCCTCAGCGTGAGGAACCTTGTCTTCAGCGCGAGGAACCTTGTCTTCAGCGCGAGGAACCTTGTCTTCAGCGTGAGCAACCTTGTCCTCAGCGTGAGGAAAATTGCTCTCAGCGTGAGGAACATTGTCGTCAGTGAGGTACCTTGTCCTCAGCGTGAGGAACCTTGTCCTCAGCGTCAGAAACCTTGTCCTCAGCGTGAGGAACCTTGTCCTCAGCGCGAGGAACATTGTCCTCATCGATATGAACGTTGTCCTCAGCGTGAAGAACGTGAGGAACCTAGTCCTCAGCTTGAGGAACCTTGTCCTCAGCGTGAGTAACCTTGTCCTCAGCGTTAGAAACGTTGTTAGGAACTTTGTCCGCGGCGTGAGGAACCTTGTACTCAGCGTGAGGTACCTTGTCCTCAGCGTCACGAAACTTGTCCTCAGCGTGAGGAACCTTATCTTCAGCGCGAGGAACCTTGTCTTCAGCGCGAGGAACCTTGTCCTCAGCGTGAGCAACCTTGTCCTCAGCGTGAGGAAAATTGCTCTCAGCGTGAGGAACATTGTCGTCAGCGTGAGGTACCTTGTCCTCAGCGTGAGGAACCTTGTCCTCAGCGTCAGAAACCTTGTCCTCAGCGTGAGGAACCTTGTCCTCAGCGCGAGGAACATTGTCCTCATCGTTATGAACCTTGTCCTCAGCGTGAAGAACGTGAGGAACCTAGTCCTCAGCGTGAGAAACCTTGTCCTCAGCGTGAGGAACCTTGTCCTCAGCGCGAGGAACATTGTCCTCAGCGTTATGAACCTTGTCCTCAGCGTGAAGAACATGAGGAACCTGGTCCTCAGCTTGAGGAACCTTGTCCTCAGCGTGAGTAAGCTTGTCCTCAGCGTTAGAAACGTTGTTAGGGACCTTGTCCTCAGCGTTAGGAACCTTGTCCTAAGCGTGAGGAACCTTCTCCTCAGCGTGAGGAACATTGTCCTCAGCGTGACGTACCTTGTCCTCAGCGTGAGGAACCTTGTCCTCAGCGTGAGGAACCTTGTCTTCAGCGCGAGAAACCTTGTCTTCAGCGTGAGGAACCTTGTCCTCAGCGTGAGGTACCTTGTTTTTCAGCGTGAGGAACCTTGTCCTCAGCGTGAGGAACCTTGTCCTCAGCGTGAGGAACCTTGTCTTCAGCGCGAGGAACCTTGTCTTCAGCGCGGGGAACCTTGTCCTCAACGTGAGGAACCTTGTCCTCAGCGTGAGAGCCTTCTCCTCAGCGTGAGGTACCTTGTCCTCAGCGTGAGGAACCTTGTCTTCAGCGTGAGGAACCTTGTCTTCAGCGCGAGGAACCTAGTCTTCAGCGCGAGGAACCTTCTCCTCAGCGTGAGGAACCTTGTCCTCAGCGTGAGGAACATTGCCCTCAGCGTGAGGAACCTTGTCCTCAGCGTGAAGAACGTTAGGAATCTAGTCCTCAGCTTGAGGAACCTTGTCCTCAGCGTGAGTAACCTTGTCCTCAGCGTTAGAAACGTTGTTAGGAACCTTGTCCTCAGCGTTAGGAACCTTGTCCTAAGCGTGAGGAAGCTGGCCCTCAGCGTGAAGAACGTGACGAACTTTGTCCTCAGCTTGAGGAACCTTGTCCTCAGCGTGAGGTACCTTGTCCTCAGCGTGAGGAACCTTGTCCTCAGCGTGAGGAACCTTGTCTTCAGCGCGCGGAACCTTGTCTTCAGCGTGAGGAACATTGTCCTCAGCGTGAGGAACCTTGTCCTCAGCGTGAGGAACATTACCCTCAGCGTGAGGAACCTTGTCCTCAGCGTGAGGTACCTTGTCCTCAGCGTGAGGAACCTTGCCTTCAGCGTGAGAAACCTTGTCCTCAGCGTGAGGAACCTTGTCCTCAGCGCGAGGAACATTGTCCTCATCGTTATGAACCTTCTCCTCAGCGTGAAAAACGTGAGGAACCTAGTCCTCAGTTTGAGGAACCTTGTCCTCAGCGTGAGTAACCTTGTCCTCAGCGTTAGAAACGTTGTTAGGAACCTTGTCCCCGGCGTGAGGAACCTTGTACTCAGCTTGAGGTACCTTGTCCTCAGCGTCAGGAAACTTTTCCTCAGCGTGAGGAACCTTGTCTTCAGCGCGAGGAACCTTGTCTTCAGCGCGAGGAACCTTGTCTTCAGCGTGAGCAACCTTGTCCTCAGCGTGAGGAAAATTGCTCTCAGCGTGAGGAACATTGTCGTCAGTGAGGTACCTTGTCCTCAGCGTGAGGAACCTTGTCCTCAGCGTCAGAAACCTTGTCCTCAGCGTGAGGAACCTTGTCCTCAGCGCGAGGAACATTGTCCTCATCGATATGAACGTTGTCCTCAGCGTGAAGAACGTGAGGAACCTAGTCCTCAGCTTGAGGAACCTTGTCCTCAGCGTGAGTAACCTTGTCCTCAGCGTTAGAAACGTTGTTAGGAACTTTGTCCGCGGCGTGAGGAACCTTGTACTCAGCGTGAGGTACCTTGTCCTCAGCGTCACGAAACTTGTCCTCAGCGTGAGGAACCTTATCTTCAGCGCGAGGAACCTTGTCTTCAGCGCGAGGAACCTTGTCCTCAGCGTGAGCAACCTTGTCCTCAGCGTGAGGAAAATTGCTCTCAGCGTGAGGAACATTGTCGTCAGCGTGAGGTACCTTGTCCTCAGCGTGAGGAACCTTGTCCTCAGCGTCAGAAACCTTGTCCTCAGCGTGAGGAACCTTGTCCTCAGCGCGAGGAACATTGTCCTCATCGTTATGAACCTTGTCCTCAGCGTGAAGAACGTGAGGAACCTAGTCCTCAGCGTGAGAAACCTTGTCCTCAGCGTGAGGAACCTTGTCCTCAGCGCGAGGAACATTGTCCTCAGCGTTATGAACCTTGTCCTCAGCGTGAAGAACATGAGGAACCTGGTCCTCAGCTTGAGGAACCTTGTCCTCAGCGTGAGTAACCTTGTCCTCAGCGTTAGAAACGTTGTTAGGAACCTTGTCCTCAGCGTTAGGAACCTTGTCCTAAGCGTGAGGAACCTTGTCCTCAGCTTGAGGAACCTTGTCCTCAGCGTGAGGTACCTTGTCCTGAGCGTGTGGAACCTTGTCCTCAGCGTGAGGAACCTTGTCTTCCGCGCGAGAAACCTTGTCTTGAGCGTGAGGAACCTTGTCCTCAGCGTGAGGTACCTTGTTTTTCAGCGTGAGGAACCTTGTCCTCAGCGTGAGGAACCTTGTCCTCAGCGTGAGGAACCTTGTCTTCAGCGCGAGGAACCTTGTCTTCAGCGCGGGGAACCTTGTCCTCAACGTGAGGAACCTTGTCCTCAGCGTGAGAGCCTTCTCCTCAGCGTGAGGT